AACATGTGGCCAGAAGGGACAAGGCCGATGATGAGTAATCCTGTCGCGACGGAGTGGCAGCCAAGGCATTGGAGGCGTCTGAGAGGACACGCAGTGAGGAAAGGGAGCAATGAAATCGGCTCACGTGCACGTGTCTGGCATGATGAGAGGTGGCGGCAATTTGGAGAGGCCTTCATCAAGCAGCGGACTGATCATGTCTGATAGTGACGACGACGAATGGATGCCACGGGTTGAATGCTCCTCGTGACTTACAATACCCATACCGGACATATGCTAACTTGCTAAGTTGCACCTGACCAGTATCCGTGTAACAAAGCAAATAAACTCAAACTTTCAAAGCAAATATGCTCTTTCCATCCTTACCTATCGCACACCCTAACATCATATGTACTGCATATTCACCCACGTGGGTACACAACTGTACGACACATCCACACAGGGGACGAGCGTGGCTTGCGCTGCAGAAGGAGGGGAGCTCACGGCGTTCAGGGCGACCCAGAGCTGCCCGGACACAAAGTGCTTGTCACAAACGAACCACGGACACCTCGCTGACCTCGTCGGGGAGCGTAGAGCATCACGCGCACTCCGGTGGCGGTCATCCTCGCAGCGGCGAACAAAGGCGGCGGTCACCGCATGGCGCGGCGCTTTCAGACGCGCTTCTGCGTCCGTCTGGAACGCTCTTCCTCCCGATATTAGGCTCCTGGGAGCTGCGCACTTTTAAATCATCGTCTAGATTTGAAAACGCATGTATCTCAGAACTAATTTTTGCGTGTTTAGTTCATTGTCCTTCCCCCCCCCCCCCCCGCACATCCGATTAGCACCGTTGGTTACGTACGGTGCGAAAGAAGTCCAACACAAAGACAAAGATCCCCCGTATAGCCTTAACAGACTGTAGGGGCGAGTGCTGTTAGCGAGCACCTATGAAGGCTGGAACGGTGCACGAAGGGGTGGGTGGCCTGCACCACGCCCGACCGCCTTTGTCTTCCCAGTGGCGATGTTTACTACACACCGCACCAGGTACTCATTTGAGGCTGAGTCAACCTAGGAGAGGCCCAGGATCGGTTCTGATAATCGTCACCGGTGTTGGCCGTGAGCGGGAATCGAACCCGGGTCGCCGGGTTCATAGCGCAGCGTGGCGCTAACCGCTGCACCACCGCTCCCCACCTCATGGCGCGCGCAACCTGACGCAGAGCGCGACGCAGCCTCTCTCGGCGGGCTCCTTCCCATTTGTAGAAGTGAAACAATCGCAGCACGTCCAAAAGGCGACGATGCGTGGCGTCCAGTGCGTTGGCTGTTTGCCCCGCACACGACGAACGGCCGTGAGTTACGCAAGTCAACAGTTGTGCGTGTAGCGCTGTATCGCTGTAGCGCATGCAACGACACTCACATCACACGCTGCCTCCTGCGTGTTCACGCACGTTTACAGAACCCCCCTCCCTCCCTGTCCAACCGCGACCGTAAATCAAAAATAAATAACTGCATCCGTTAATTAACATAGATTTATATTCTTGGTTCTTTCGGTAAAGTCACGTAGATAGAAAACAAAAATCTAAATTTATTTTGTGAAACCCGCTGGGTTTTCTTGCATAGCCCTGGTATTTTGCTCATGCTGCAAGGTGTATCACCTAAAGCTGTATGCAAGTAGACGATTCCCCATCATAACTTCAGCACACTCTGTGGCTAATTGTGATGATGATGAATAACTAAAGCTTGCCCATCCCAAAGCAGTAATACACAGAAGCCATTTGCAGACTGCTGTCTGTTCAGTAAATACTCTGTGAAACGTTAACTTGACGATGCTTCATAGTGGGGATGGTTTGCGTGCACGTAAAGTGGAGTGGGCAACATCAGCCCAGGAGCTTCACCCTGCTGTCACGAGCCCGCTTGCCTCGTCAGGATTGTTGGAATTATTGAGGTTGAATGCAGGGCGAATTCCCTGGGGGCATTCATTGCCAGCGAGCAAACAGACAGCTACTGGCTCTCCGCACCGCGTGCGAGAGAGACGCCTGCCAATTGAAGCCATTTCACGTTGAGTGGCCCAGAAGCGGGGCCATTGAAGAAACCCACCCCCCACATCCCCCCCCCCCCCCCATTGTTTCAGGGACCGCGCCGGTGGATGGAGTCGAACCCTTGCAATGTCTGGAGGTCGCAAGGCCACTGTGTGCTGACCATCGACACCGCTGGTGCCCCGCGTGTGTGTGCCTTTACCCGTGCTCAACATATGACAATAGTTACAGGGTCGGTGTAGGGAGTGCGTGGGGCCAACAGCAATGTTCAGTAGCGTATCTCCGTCATGGAAATGGCCATAAGTAACGTGTTGCTTAACTTGCGTAGGGAACGATGTATGATAACTGACCAGAAGAAATTATAATTGGAATATTGCCACGAGAGCAAATTACGTTTAGGTGCATTACACATCTCGTTAAGATATTAAAAACTAAACTGCGTAAACGTGCGTAAGTGGCTATTACTATGTCCACCAAATGCCACCGATCTCGAGTAGTGTATAGCAATGGGACCCTTTCGTCGGCAGCAAGATATTGAATAATAAATACCTCTACCCTTTGTGGAGTAATGTAGTAGCACTGTATACATAATAGAGTATTAAGAAGCCAACGTCATTAAGACACATCTATAGAGATGATGTATGTTAGGTTCAAGATACCATATTAGCCCTGAAACGCAGAACCCAAAGATGCTAATTAAGAAGCATATGCGCGCCCATATAGCTGAACAATTTGCATTCATACCATACGCGACATGGCGAGGCGATATAGCATGGAGAATGTCGTGATTAAACTTTGTTGTGAAAATCGAGTCCACGATAAATATTGACTCAACCCGTTAATGTGATTGCAGTAATTAGTTTCCTATCACAAGAATGGCGACGGGGATGCAACCCGGTGGGACCCTTCCGCAAACAGCTGGCACGCACACGCACACATCGACTTGTACACACACACATTGACTTGTACACACACATCGACTTGTACACACACACACACATTGACTTGTACACACACACATCGACTTGTACACACACACACAAATCGACTTGTACACACACATTGACTTGTACACACACACATCGACTTGTACACACACACACAAATCGACTTGTACACACACACATTGACTTGTACACACACACATCGACTTGCACACACACACATTGACTTGTACACACACACATCGACTTGTACACTCACACATCGACTTGTACACACACAATGACTTGTACACACACACACATCGACTTGTACACACACACATCGACTTGTACACACACATCGACTTGTACACACACACATCGACTTGTACACACACACATCGACTTGTACACACACACGTCGACTTGTACACACACACATCGACTTGTACACACACACATCGACTTGTACACTCACACATCGACTTGTACACACACACATCGACTTGTACACACACACATTGACTTGTACACACACACATCGACTTGTACACACACACATCGACTTGTACACACACACGCACACACACCGACGTGTACACACACATTGACTTGTACACACACACGCCGACTTGTACACACACACACCGACTTGTACACACACACACATACATCGACTTGTACACACACACACATCGACTTGTACACACACACATCGACTTGTACACACACACATCGACTTGTACACTCACACATCGACTTGTACACACACACATCGACTTGTACACACACACATTGACTTGTACACACACACATCGACTTGTACACACACACATCGACTTGTACACACACACACACATCGACTTGTACACTCACACATCGACTTGTACACACACACACACACACATCGACTTGTACACACACATTGACTTGTACATACACACATTGACTTGTACACACATTGACTTGTACACACACACACCGACTTGTACACACACACATCGACTTGTACACACACACATCGACTTGTACACACACACATCGACTTGTACACACACACATTGACTTGTACACACACACACATTGACTTGTACACACACATCGACTTGTACACACACACACCGACTTGTACACACACACATTGACTTGTACACACACATCGACTTGTACACACACACACATTGACTTGTACACACACATCGACTGCACATCAATTACACGTCGACAATCGGAGTGACGTTTCAATCATAATCGGACCTGACAATTGCAGTATTATCTGCAGAACGTGCCCAAGCAGTCCACCCATATTCACCATGCGCAGGAAAGCCAACAGACGCTGAACCGGTGCCGAGCAGACAACATTGCGTCCCAAAAACTTGCCTCCTGCCTTGCTCGTTAGCCACATTCAAGTTACTTTAGTGCGGTGATTATTTCACCAAAGGCACGGTTCGGGGAACGTTAAAGGCATCTTCGAAAGTTGTATTTCTGCCGTTGATCGCGGGGGGAGACATACGTCCCAAAGCAAATGCGTAGACGATAGTCCAGGCTCTCTGTTAGCGCGCGCCTGTAAATCGGCGTCTTCCATTCAGCACGCCGCCTCTGTGGACAGCAGGCATTGTTGGTGACGCGGTGTGGGCAAAGCCATAACTGCAGCGCGCAGTGTCCACCCATCCACCAGCAGTAGCTCGTGTCTGCTGGCGCGGTTTGTACGAGCCAGTGTTCCTTCACTATTAACTCCAGGAGAAAATATGAGCACGTGTGGAAAAGAAACCCTCTCCACACGGTTGTTCTTGCGATTCAGTTTTGAAAGCGCTTGAATGTTGCGCACACGTATATGTCCGGTGCCGCGAATACGTCTAACAGCAGCTCACAACAACCGCTTCCGAATCCCAGCCGTGTGTCGCTCGCTAATAATCGCAATCGGTAAATATCGGTCGACAGCAATGACTCCAAATCCGAGCTGAGTCTCGCTACTTGCTTGCATAATTCACATCTCACGACAGCAGTGCACGCGCGATCGCCACCAGACGCATCGAGGCGCACGCGCGCAGGGCACGGGAACTCGCGTTACCTTCCTGCTGAGCGCTTCCCGGCAGCAGCAGACAGAGGAGCAGCGATCCAAACGCGTGGACCAACAAAGCCGAGACACCCATTGTCTCCTCTCGGAGTCCACCCGAGGCGATCTCCCTCGCCCCCGGTCACAGGATAGAACCCAGCAGAGGGCACAAGAAGAGGTGGTTCGCTGTCCCGGGTGCAGCTCGCCAGTATTGTATCAGGATGACTCCTGCTGTAAACTTTTCCTCCCCCCTCCTCCTCCTCCTCCCGCCAGCTCTCTCGCGCTCTCTCCGTTCTCTCTCTCTCTCCGTGTAGTGCGCGCGCGTGTGCTGAAGCACTGCACCTCCCACCGCGGTGCCTCCACACTCGATTGGCAATGAGCGCGTGGAGCAGACTCCGGGCTGTGTTCTCTCCCCGATTGTTTGGTGGCGTCTCCGCCGAGCCGCGAACCCAACCCATGCGGCTCTCTACGCTGTGGGCAGGCGGGCAAGGCACCACCCCACTGATGTCCCGCACGCGACACGTACAGCCACGCACGCACGCACACACAACGCACACAGTCACACGCCTATCACACACACACGCGCACATACAACATACACAGTCACACGCAGATCACACACCCACACACTCAAACAGGATACACACAATTCACACACACAAAGATTCCCCTACAGCCTTAACAGACCGTTGGGGCAAGTACAGTTAGCGAGCACCTATGAAGGCCGGCACACACACAATACATACACGGTTACACACAGAAGATACACACACGCAGAATAAACCACAAACACACTGAAAACAGAATACACAAATTTCACACACACTTCACACACAAATGCATAGACAAATAGCAATGCACACATAGTTACACGGACAATAAACTAACCCAGAAAAGCACAATTAATACAGAATGCACAATATTCACAAATATATAAAATGCATGCACACGCAATTCATACACGGATATATAAAAGTCACACATATAATACACAGTCAGGATACACACACGTACACATTACACACACAATATATGCACCTACGTGAACAGTTACTCACATAGAATGCACACTCAAGAGACACACTCGCGCACATTACACACGTACACAACACACGCATAACACACAGCATGCACACATAACGAACACACGCACATTTCACAACTCCCCTCTCCTGTCGCTATCCGATCTGTTACCCCAAGCTCGGGTAGAATTGGGGTTTTTTGGGGTACGAGCTACTTTAACTACTTTTCACGTGAAACTACACAATCCGCTATCAGTAGTGGCTTTGCTATTTCTTTGTTTTCTTGAATAGTGCATTATACAGCATTCGATTAGACTAATGATGCAAATCACACTTCGCTTAATGCAGTCCGCTCAAGATGAGTACAAATGCGCATTTACACATACTTAGCTCTACGATTACGAAAGGAGAGGAACCAGGCCCCTATTGATTATTCCCAAGTCATTATTTTGTCAACGACTATTTGGAAACAATATCTGAGCGCATGTGAAACTCAGCTGCCAGTAAGCGCATAACGATTATCCAATTAGTGCTCATTATTTTTGTTAATTGATTTAGCAGTCCGTGAAATTACCTGTGGTGCGATACAATGACTCGTTTGTGAGTTTTGATGTCAGCCACGTAATCACTACATGCCACATATGAAAGCATGAAGTGATATCTTATTGTGCGAGCATGTTTTTTTGCTATATAAAAGGTGTCATGCACTTGAATGCACTTGATATGCACGACACAGCTTACTGGACAATTATTCGCATTGTCAAACGTAATGTCAACACATTGACGCTTGGACAATGAGCAATGGATGAGCAGTGGCTCTGTAATTGGAAATTAATTCCGAACAGACGTTTGGGAGAATCCTTGACCGATCAAGAAGTTGCTGGCAGTGCGAGAGGATCGAACTGTGAAACGTCTCTCAAAAATTAATATTTGTTTGAAACGTCAAATAGTGTTGCCACCTCATATATATAAAGAACAATTAAAATGGAACATATCATGGCGAAGAAGAGTATCTGACAATACGGGAAGATTGTAAGGGCACATTGCCTTGAGTGACAAAATACGGGACTTTTCATGTCCTGGGAATAGAATGATTTCCAAGGACAGCTTCCTCAACAAGAGGACGATCCCGGGAAAACCTGGACGGGTGGCAACGCGAGTGCCGTTTCTCCGTCGTTACGTTAGTCTCCCTCAACAGTGTTTAATCGGAGTTGGTGCAGATTTATCGGTCAGATGGCACTCAATGGGCGGAGCGCGAGTTCACATTCTTGTTGGGGCTTGACTAAGCCCATCGTACCTCTAGGGTCACTGAATGAGTACCACGTTGTGCTGAAGTGAACAGTGGATGTCCTATGGAAAGACTCACCCCCCACATCCGCCATAGGAATGTGGAATTTCCACCACTGGCTCAAGGCTGTAGACGGGAGCTGGGCACTGCCTCAATGAGCACGAGATCGCGTTCACGTGTGTGGGCTGTAGGCCCACAAGGCAGGAAGACCGACGGTGTTGGACCTTTGCTATTTGTGTTGTAGTCGTGGAGGATATCGGCCGTGTCAGCTCTGAATAGATTCCTGTCAAGTATGGCCAAAAGAACCACGCCATGACTGACGCTGAGTGGGGAGACCTCCATCCAGCAGTGGGTAGACAACGGTATGTAGTTTATGAAAGCACGAACACTGTTGCGTATACGATTGTAATATACTGTATATTGCTCGTTAAATTAACAAACACGCAATGGTATTTCTCACGCAGTCTAGTTTATTCATGCTGAATAAAGAAACTGCATTCAAGAATGCTGACATTGATTGTGGACATTTGACATTGCTATGGTGGAGCAATAATATCAATAACAGCCACTGTTGACCTCAAACCACAGTGTGATACTTAGAGATGATGGCTTTTTTTGAGAGCACATTGTGTTCTATGAGGAAGGGCCATTTCCCGAAACGTCACCGATTATACATTTGTTCCTCCGAGGCATTGTTATTGACGAATGTCTTGTTAATGTCGTGTTGATTGTGGTTGTGCACCACTGGCAATGCAGCATCACGAAATTAGCTGTTAAATTTGAACGATTTTGTGTTTAGGTTAACACCTCACCCGGATTTGAAATCACGAACCGGTTGTGAGTTGAGTACTCTGCCAGTGTGACCAAGCATGACGTCATTCCCCTCCACTTTGAAGACGAATCTACAGCATAGCCTGCACATTCATGCTTTACAGAAGCCTCACTAGATATGTTTGTATTGTAGTAAACATATATATTTTAAAATACAAGTCCAATTACACTTATTTATAGTCCGTCGAAACCATTTTTAGGAGAACTATTTATAAATGCTGAAATGTAGGAAATGAGCACTGGGTGAGTGTACTTTAATAAACAGTGCAATTGTTTAGAACTCGGTGGGCCCAAAAAAGTCCACGGTTCTAATGTGCATCCGATCAGAAAAATGTATATAATTCATGAAAGTCACACACCCATAACCAAATGAAGAATGTGGAAATCGTGTGTAATTCCAATATTGCGTTTCGTGATTAAAAGTTTAAACAAATAAGGTCCTCATTCTCGTCGAATAATCAAATTCTGAAATGAAAACAAACCACAGGGTGAGCAAACACGTCCAGAGGTACACTCCATGACACTTAGAACACAAACTTCTCCTGTGTGGACACTTGGTGCCGAGTTTAAATTCTAGTGGGAGATTGCATGATCCCATCATCCACCTATGGTCAACACCATTTATAGAATTTAGTTTTCAGTCAATTGTGGTTGTCTTTACAAAGAGAATGGTCACGGCGATAATTTTGGCAATTTGCGCCACTGGTAAAGAGATGAGCGCTGCTCCATGTTTCTCTGAGCAAGGAGGAACATTGTGTCTCGCCATGCCAGGGATTTAGAAAGGATTAACTGGCGCTGTAATGAATAAAAATGTTTTAGGCATGGTGGCACGTACGCCTTTGTGGGCGTCTCAATTAGAGCCACTGTTAAATGAGCAGATTTTTCGACTCGGGTGGCCCGAGGCAAATATGCCGCTTCATCGGCTGCTCCGCAATACGCATCCCACACCCTCCCGCGCTCAAGAGCCATCCATCACGTCATCCAACCGACCCGAATTGGATTAGCGGGCAGTTGAGACGGTCCTATGGCCTGATTCCTGCCACTGGGGTTACACAGCATCGTTAGAGCACGAGACGCCGTATTGGTATAGGCAGAACCAGCTGGTATGGTCAAGTGAAACATGCATGAGGATACTCTTGCTTGTGTGCCTTACCAGTCGATGTGGAATGGACCGCTGTGATTTCCCAACAGCTTCTGGCAACATGTTGGAGCAGACGGCTACAGCTATTTCTTTTTATTCAAGAATCCAGAACACGGACACCACAGTTCCACAGCTATTTTAAATAATGTCAAATACAATGAGGATACCTTGGGCAAACTGTCATGAAATGGGTAAACCCTATAGCCACACTCTATGACCAGCTCTATATATACCATACACAATCATCATAAGCAATAGCTTATATATACCACAACTTGATGCAAGCATCCATCCTACCATCCTATTCCAATGTATCTTGATTTCATCACTCCAGCTCCCATTTGGTCAGCCTTATATATATTTCTTTCCCCTGGTTGCCCTCGGTTGTCATTCCTTCCTCTGACACATCCTGAATAATTGGAATCCTACCTCCTTTTTGAGAGCAGACATCATAGATAAAAAGGTACGCACATATATCATATACTCTGGTAGAAAATTCATGACATGCTCCATATTTTGATAGTAGGCAAGCTGCAAGGATGCAATTGAATGATCGCCCCCACAGAAAATAAGAGTGGCTGAAGGCGCACGGGCTGTGACATGAGAATCCGTGGGCTGATTGTCAACATTTCGGAAGCGGTGTGTCCGCACAACCCTCTAGGATCGTGAAGAAATCTGTCGAGAAATCTAAGTTATCGTTCTTATGCTTCTATCGCATAGGCGAGGGGAATGCACGTGTTTTTCCATAGGGATGGAACACATTTATAGATAGGGATGGCCATTGCTTTGTTTTATGGAGCGAAAAATGAAAGCAAGGGAGCTGTTTTATTGCACCCGTGGATGCTCCCCCAACAAGCCAGGCATGATGCACCAGGACATGCTCCACAGACCCCACCAAGTGGATCACCGCCTTGGCCAGCAACTCCTCGACTCCCTCACGGCGTGTCCTACCCCTGCCTAAAGCAGAGAAACAGTCAATAACACGCACTACAAATAACACGCACGGCCACATATCATCATGTGCATAGCTTGCATTTGCTTTTTTTTAAGGTCATCGTTTAAAAAAAAAGGAATATCGTGCATTTCTATTGTAATATTTGACATTG